ACACGAATGCAATAAACTACCCATTTTTTTTGTAAAATATAAAAACTAGGTTGTATCTAGTAAACAGATACCCAACTTGTCAAATTGTCAATTTGCGTGCACCTGTGAAATGGTGACTAATGTCAGTACCCTATATTTTCCATAGGCGACACGTTAAATGCCCCTATAGGTCATCAGTTTGGTGCTACAGCTGAGATCTGGTGCTACAAATAATGCTCTCATGCAAACAATGGTTTCATGCGTAAGTACCCTTGACGCATTTGTTTACATTTGAATGTGGGTATATGTGGTGTTTGGGGGGCTCAAAAAGTTTTGTTTTACTTAATTTTTTTTCGTCATATAGGGGACAATAAGTCCATATGTGATGATTGTTCGATAACAGAGTCTTTTTAATGAGACATTCAGGGTCTAAAAGACCCTGCATGTCTCCTATGTGGTCCACTGAATGTAATGCAGTGCAGATCACACAGCATTAGATTGTTTCCTGGCTGGGGAGACTGACATGGGTACCCTTCAGTGACATTTTACACGTTGCTTCTGGGTCACAGGAAGAAGGGGAGAAGAGCAGATGAATATCCACTCTGGTATCTTCCCTCTACTCAGTGGCACATGCTATGCTATACATAGCAGGGGCATTAGAGGGGGAAGGGGGCCTGCGTTACGGGGGTGTGTGGAAGCAATCAGGCAGCAGTGCAGCCGCCGGACTGCTTCGAACTGACAGGCAGGATTCTGCTTGTCAAATGTACACATAATCCCAGGGGCTGCATCCACCCAGACTATGTGTAAAACCCCCCGCTGTCAGGTCCGTACTACATATAGAACTTGCAGCAAAAGGATTTAAGCTGTTACCCAAGTGCTGGACACTATAATCAGCCAATAGGCATCGTTCACATCACTAGAAAGCAATGCGCGCAGTGAAAAAAAGACCCTCCCAATGTTGGCCTTCATATCACAACCATTTCAGGTAAGAAATTGGGGTTTTTATTTTACTTTTAGTTGTAAAAAACACACAGGAGGGTACAAACCCCTAGTGTATTACCAACAATTTTTTTAAATATAAAATTCAAAAATATACTCACAAACATAAATAGGGAGATGCCTATCAAATCACAACTGCAGCCGTGAGGTGATGTCATCTAACCATGTATGCCAAGGTTGGTAGGCTGATGCAATTCAAGGGACATTCACCCTTCCTCAGAGCTAACATGCTGCATCAGGCGAAGCATTCCAAATTGTGCCACCTCAGGATATACTACAGCTTGAGTGCTGGAGTGTTTGATTTCGTTGGCGGATGTTACTTTTAGTTAGGATTATCTGGGGGCAGGTGGAGTGGGTGTTTTTTTTACCTGCTTGGAAATTAGATTTATATAAATAGTCTTGTGATGATGTTCCTTGGTAGAACCCATAGTTCCATAACTCAACAAGGTGAGTGCTCACTTGTCAGAGTTAAAGGATAAGTTCACCTTTGGAACATGTTCCATGTTCCACCAATTTTCAGGGCAGAACATGTAACATGTTCCAGCTCCTGCTTCCTCTCCCCTCCGATCCCCTCTCCCTGTGACAGCAGGTGGGGGAGCTTCTCCCCCAGGTGGGGGAGCTTCTATATGCGTCATTCAATCACAGTTTCTTGTGAATGAATGCCTACAAGTACCGCCAGCCATTGGGGCTGATGACATGCAATTCTCAATTAACTGCAAGGGTGCTGGTGAGCGCTCTCGAAGTTTGTTGACTCTTCCTGCTATTCAGTAATTGCTGTATTGGAGGTTTCAGTGCGATTTCAATTGTGATGTATTTAAGAGAATGAACTGCTCCATAAAACACTCAATACTGTAGGTGAAAGGGAAAATGCTGATAATTAGTATCTATAAGTTGGGGAAAGACATTATAGTAACCATAAAGTTTCATCCCCAATGCCCTGGTGGCCCCAGAAATGGCAAATCACTTCTATCTTATTATGGTGCCGGTGCTACACAGTTACCTATGTTGGGACCAGGGGCGGACTGACAACACATGGGGCCCCCGGGCAATAGGGAATCATGGGGCCCCTGTGTACTTGCCCAAACTCAAAAAAGCCTATGAAAAAGGTACCAGGGGCATCTCATGGGGCCCCCTATTGACCCCGGGCCCTCGGGCAGTGCCCGAGTTTCCAAATGGTCAGAACGCCCCTGGTTGGGACCAAGATCTAGTGACTGATACAGGCAAGAAAGCAAGCTGCAGAGCAATAGCGTGAAAGGTAAGGGAAAACTGTATTCAAGATAAAAATTTCTACAGATGAAAAAAAGGGTGTTGGCTTTCACTTTAACTTAAATACAGCCTACTCTCTGACATGAAACACAACTTTTTTACTCTTTGGTATAACTGAAGCAACCCTAATATCTTTGCAGCATTTTCTACTTGTTTCCAAATAAAGAATTTATCTTGTAAGCTACTCTAAAGAAGCTTTCTGCTGTGGTTCATTATGTCAATAGACATTCACACCTATCTTGAAGGTAACCAAAAAAGACAAGACACAATAAAAAAAGATGTCAACTATAAATGATGAATTTTGCACCGTGTTATTGCCTGCCAATCTTGACATATAATAGCGCAGTTCTGAGCTGCACTCCATGCAGTGTTGAGACCAGTGTAATTGGGCGGTGCTTGCAGCGACAAGAAATGATGTCATGGTGCAATACTACAGAAGAAGAAGAAGACACAACACCACTCAATTGAAGATCAAGAACTAGAGTGGGTCTATTCACATTACATCACATTAGTTAGATACAGCCAACATTTTAGGTCCTTGCATGGTCCCTTTATTAGGGCACCACAGGATGGGACCCTGTACGACTGTGAAACATTGGCTACATCTGACTGATGTGATGCAATGTGAATAAAAATAAGCTCATTTTTGACTTTCAATATAGTGCTGCCAATTCTTTATCTTCTGCCAGACCTGCGCTAAATAACAAACGTACTATTTTTTTCTAGATCTTGGTTTAGAATAGATTGATCTGTAAAAACTCTTGAACTCCAATAATAAAACCAGATAGCAGTTCCTTGCTACTATGAAAACAATAAGAACACCAGATGTGCATACCTAGCAACCTCATGTGTGTGCGTAGGAGACATATGGTGCGGATCCAAGCCAGGAATCTGTAGTCTTACAGCAAATGCATACTGTATTCCTGAGTGCAGATAAATTCTACTGCAAAGGGTGGCCTCGCTCGCTTGGAATGGGATTCAGAGCTGGATGCAGGGAGGCTGCTGTTGTTCTCTAGAAACAGACTGCGGAACTGCAGCCACAGGATTTTGGGCAGAGGATCTGCACTGTTGTGATGCTGATTGCCATACTGGGATCGCATCAGTCATTCTCTGCACTGGGACTACCACTGTCCGGCTCCATACAGACATCGCTGTTTGCCATGTTGACAAGCTGTTAGGTGGACAATCTACACATGGAGAAACAGAAAAAGGGCGCACCGACCTAGTGCATTATCGTTTAAAATAATTTATTAAAGAAACAAAAATAGGTATCATACTCACAATGGACATAATAACACAGGCATGTCAAACTGAAAAGGTGTATGATCCAAACAACATCTGAGTCCATACGATGGAACCCTGGATGACCAACTGGCTAACGTGTTTCGAGGACACAACTTCACAACCTTGGCTCTGAGGAAGAGGTTGTGTCCTCGAAACGCGTTAACGAGTTGGTCATCCAGGGTTCCATCGTATGGACTCAGATGTTGTTTGGATCATACACCTTGTTCAGTTTGACATGCCTGTGTTATTATGTCCATTGTGAGTATGATACCTATTTTTGTTTCTTTAATAAATTATTTTAAACGAAAATGCACTAGGTCGGTGCGCCCTTTTTCTGTTTCTCCATTTGTATCCAGTGTATTCGGACTGTTGAGGGCAGCAAGCAGTGCATATTCCAGAAAATTCCAGAACATTCTTATTGGGTCTACTGAGTCCTTTTCTAGCGCAGGAGTAAAGTGTTTGTTGTGTTGGACAATCTACACATCTCTGTAGTACATTCAAGAGCCTGATCAATAATTCTTTGTTCTTAGGAGGCTGTACTATCAACAAGATTGGTGAGCGAGTGGATGTCCAACCTCTTTCTGTCATCACTCTAGAGACACTGCATGCATACACCTTTACACCTCAGTTACCAGGAGACCTTTGCTTTGGGCAGCTCCATAGACTCTGTTTAACTTAATTGAATTACCAGTTTTCAATAATGTTTATAAGCCCCACCACTGCTAGCAGAAGACAGCAGATACCACCTTATTTGGAAATTTTAGCATCACAGGACTCAAGCTGCAATCTCTCGTTAAAGGGACGTCTTCCTTTTTAAGGTCATTGTTACTCAAACAAGAGTACCTACATATACTTATTCAGGAGTATACATTTATACAGGATTGTTCTTCATACCCTATGTAACGACAGCGGCCCAGAGGGAGCTGATAAGCCAACAAGCCTTTTCTTCCCCCTCTTTTTGTCAGTGTTGCATTTACTGTAAATGGTTGAAGCTTGCTTCTCATAACTGTATAATCTGTTAATTGTTGCTAATTGACTGTTTCTATTGTACCAATGTTTCTACTTTCATGCATTAATTGGGGTTGTGCGCATTAATCCCATTTTTCCTTTGGACTACTCTTTTAAGCAAGCACTAATATAGATGTGTTGCTAAAGAACTGTGTCTCGTTCATTATTATTCTATATTATTGAATAATGGCTGAATCCAGAGTGTCAGAGGTGTCTGGAGGCTTTCAAGAGCAGGGCCACCACTGGGGACAAGCATCATCATCCGGCCCTTACGGGGGGGGGGGGGGGGGGGGGGGGGGTAGCGCTACATGTGCATGCAGTATATATACAGTGCGTATGCAGTGTGTTTGCATATGTATGTAGTATGTATGCAGTGTGTATGCAGTATGTATGCAGAGTGTATGTATGCAGTGTGCATGCATGTGTATGCAGTGTCTATGTTACATAGTTACATAGTTACATAGTTAGTCTGGCTGAAAAAAGACAAAAGTCCATCCAGTTCAACCATAAAAAAAAAAGTTATAATCCTATACCCACAGTTGATCCAGAGGAAGGAAAAACCCAGCAAAGCATGATCCAATTTGCTCCTGCAGGGAAAAAAAACCCTTCCTGATCCCCCGAGAGGCAATCGGATATTCCCTGGATCAACTTTGCCTATAAATGTTAGTATCCAGTTATATTCTGTGTATCCAAGAAAGAATCCAGGCCTTTCTTAATGAAATCCACTGAGCTGGCCAGAACCAACTCTTGAGGGAGTCTATTCCACATTTTCACAGCTCTTACTGTGAAGAAACCTTTCCATGTTTGGAGATGAAACTTCTTTTCCTCCGGACATCTATGTATGTGCATAGGTGGTACTGATGTGCTGTACAGGGTGGGGGTGAAATGAATCATAAGGAATGCTGTGCGCTGGGTTGTATCTACTTCTGACTACTGCGCTGCTGTGTGCGTTGTATACGCCTGTAACTCACACGCATGGAACGACTTTAGAATAGGTAAGTAAGGATCTTTCCTTTTACAGGGTAGTTAGAATTGGTTTTGAATGGGGGTGGGAGCAGATCTATAGTGATGCTAAAGGTAATTTTTTTTTTAAATAACAAACATGTTATAGTTACAGTACCTGCTGTGTGCAATGGTTTTGCACAGAGCAGCTCAGAACCTCCTCTTCTCCCGCCAGTGCCCCTGGTTCCTCCTCCTGCTAAGTGCCCCCATAGCAAGCTGATTGCTTTGGGGGCATTTGTGCATGCTCACCCCCAAATCCCGCTCTGTGTGTCCATAGACACACAAAATGCTGCTCAGCCCTGCCCCCTTCTCCCTCTCATCGCTGTGATTAACAGCAGCAGGAGCTAATGGTTCCCACTGCTGTCTCTAAGCCAATGAGGCAGGAGAGAGCCACTGCTCTTGTGCACATCACTGGATCAAGATTGGGCTCAGGTAGGTATAAAAATTGGGTGGGGAGTTACATGCAGAAGGTTTTTTTTACCTTCATGCATAGAATGCATAAAGGTTAAAACCTTCAGCCTTTAGAACCACTTGACTAGTTAGGTTTTGACTTGCCTTGCACTTTAACCACTTCCCGTCCGGCCCATGTACATAAACGGCCGGACGGGAGCAGTGCAGGAGCGGGTGACCATTTATAAATGGTTCCCACATTCACTGCCTGTATGCTCTCCCTCCGGACACAGTGGAACACCGATCGCTGTATGGGACCTCTGTGTGAGGTCCCGATTCATGTGATCACTGATTGGCCAATCAGTGATCACAGGAACAGTAGTAAACAAGATGTCACTTCCTGACATCATTGCTTACTGCGTGTGAAATCTGTGAATGATCGCAGAGGGCACATGGTACAAGGCTATTCACAACAGCCTTGTACCTTGTAACAAGCTGTTACCAATCACAACTCTCACAGTATTTCTCAATGGCTGCAAGAAATGCAACCAGAGAGAAGGATAAATGATTGCTTTTACAGCCTTTATGGGTGTAAAAGCAATCAGTGTAAAAAAAGAAAAAAAAATCTTCATCACCCCCCCGCAAGTAGTACAGTGTCATTACGGTGACATTGTACTGCTAGGGTGACAGTATGTTAAAAAAAAAAAAAAACATAAATAATAATATAAAAACTTAAAATAAAAATGTAAAAAAATTATAATTTTTGGTTATAAACTAATTTGGATTTTTTTTCACTAAAAAGATAGATGAATACATTTTGGCCAAGATGTATGAAGAAAGATAGAAAAACACTTTTGTGTTTTCAAAATGTTTGGACTTTTTCTTTTATATAGCAAAAAATAAAAATGCCAGTGGTGAATAAGTACCACCAAAATAAAGTTTTATCCGTCTAAAAAAAATGCTAAACAATTCATATGGGTACAGTGTTGCATGACCGCACAATTGTCATTCAAAGTGTAATAGCACTGAAAGCTGAAAATTGGCCTGGACAGGAAGGGGGTGAAAGTGTTCAGACTTGAAGTGGTTAAATAAAAACATGCCTCTACCTCCTGGTTTTGCCGCCTGACAGTGCCCATGTGAACGGGGTCTTAGACAGCACAGCCTTTCATTTACAAGCTCTTTTTTTAACAAATACATAGAAAATTACAAGTTAGTCCTTTAAGTTTACCCAACTGCATCTGTATCATAATTATTGTCATTCATCTGCTAACAGGAAACGAAGCATAGTAACATTTTAATCCTGAGAGTCTAGAGCTCTGCTACTTTTTTTTTTTTTTCCGGCGCGCCATTGATATGATTATTCCGATTAAACATGGCCATAAAAAATAGGGTCACATGATGTGATCTTGCATGTTTTTCTTTTTTATTCCGTAATTAAAACCTAATTTTTGCATGCATCCTCATTTTCAGCTTTCAGTTTAATGAGAATTCATTTAAACTTATGCCAGAATATTTTAGTTGTTGTTGCTATTGCTAAATAGCACTTTGGGGAATTAATCCAGATTGTATTATCAACATAATATATCATTAAAATAATGACAGTAAATGATAGTGCGCTCAGCTAAAAACACATTGAAGTGGAAAAATAATTAGTGTTTCTATCAAATGCTTCTCTACAAGTTCATACACCACAAACAGGAACGTACTACAGAGACAACAAGATCTATCAATGTTTCGCAGCGCGTGATGCAGCACGAGACGAGAGCTAATCCTGTGTGTGGGTTTGCGGAGTACCTGACAATAACATTATAAAAAAAAAAAAGAAAAGAAAAAGTACAAAATGTAATGACAATAATCAAAAAGCGTAATTAATTTCTTCGGCGGTTTAGAAGGATTTTGAATGTTGAAGAGAAAATATAGAGTATTATAATGAGTATGCATTTTGCATGTTCATAACATTTGCATAATTTGTGTAAAATGACATTTTGACATTTTCGTTTGCTTACAGTTTCCTATACATACAATAGAAAAAAATAGAATAGAATAAAATAGAACAAATATAGCTGTCTTCTGAAATTCGAATTTCAAATTTAAAAAATTCTATTTTCAAAATTAAATTTGAAAATAACAAATATACTAAACGAATCCAAATATACAAAATGAATTCCAAAAACGAATCATTCTAAGATAACCAAAATAAATTATTAACTTAATAACCAAATCTGAAACAAAACTATTTTTTTCTGTTGTGCACATCTCTACTTACAGTGTAGTGTGTCTGTTGTTTTCAACCAGATCAGACTTGACCCATACATTTACAGTGAGAGAGGTGCAGCATAACAACAATTAAAAAGCTAATAAAGTAAATGTAAACCAAAAGGAAGACAGGGACAGAACATTGCCTCCCTATAACAGGACGTGCATGAGCAGGGACCTTTATTGTTAGATTCGGGTGTTTTTAATGAAACATGCAGATTTAAAAATATTGAAACTTAATTTTAAAATTACATTCTGTTTTAAATGCAGATAGATGCAAAGACGTATCTCCTTAGACCCAGTCTGTGGAGTCCGTATGACCACTTGCTAACTTGGCAAAATCCACACACAGCGTAGCTCTTCATTAAGAAAGAACTTTGGCTTCAGATAAGTACAGTAAGGAGGATGTTTTTCCAGACTTTTGAAGTTCAAGAACTCAATACCTTTCTTAAGCCCTTTCTGTGATGAACTGAAACTAACCAAGGAAACATGGGAAAAGCAGGGATGCTCTAGCTAGGATTGTACTTACTAGCTCTAAACAGGAGGAACGAGGGAATATACCAAACATGGAAACATACAGACTGCTGTGGAAGTACAATCAACATGTTAAAGCTTATATGAAATTCAAGTGATTGGATATAAATATACTATAAAACTATTGTTTACTGACAGATTTAAATGCTTATCATAAGGGAACTATAGTATTCTTGTACTGTATGTGGTAAATACTTTTAGTTTTAATATTCTTGCACTGTAAGTGGTAAAGTATAGTAAGGTATACTTTTTCTTTTTTCATTTCAAATGCCTTTCTTTATAGTTGTCTTCAGCTTTACATGAAGAGAAAGTTGTCCAGTAAAAGTAATGATCCTTGTAAAAGTATTCATATCCCTTGAAATTTTCCAGATTTTATCATGTTACAACTAAAAACATAAAGGTATTTTATTGGGATTTTATGTGACAGATCAACACAAAGTGGCACATAATTGTAAAGCGGAAGGAAAATTATAAATGGTTTTCAACATTTTTTACAAATAAATATCTGAAATGTGTGGTGTACATTTGTATTTAGCCCCTTTACTCTGATACCCCTAACTAAAATCTAATGGAACCAATTGCCTTCAGAAGTCACCTAAGTAGTAAATAGAGTCCACCTGTGTGTAATTTAATCTCAGTATAAATACAGCTGTTCTGTGAAGCCTTCAGAGGTTTGTTAGAGAACATTAGTGAACAAAAAGCATCATGAAGGCCAAGAAACACACCAGACAGGTCAGGGATAAAGCCGTGGAGAAGTTTAAAGAAGGGTTAGCTTATAAAAAAAATCCCAAGCTTTTAACATCTCACAGAGCACTATTCAATCCATCATCCGAAAATGGAAAGAGAAAAGCATGATTGCAAACCTACCAAAACATGGCCATCCACTTAAACTGACAGGCCGGGCAAGGAGAGCATTAATCAGAGAAGCAGCCAAGAGGCCCATGGTAACTCTGGAGGAGCTGCAGAGATCCACAGCTCAGGTGGGAGAATCTGTCCACAGGACAACCATTAGCAGTGCACTCCACAAATCTGGCCTTTATGGAAGAGTGGCAGGAAGCCATGTGGGAGACACAGCAAACATGTGGAAGAAGGTGCTCTGGTAATATGAAACCAAAATTTTACTTTTTGGCCTAAAAGCAAAACACTATGTGTGGTGGAAAACTAACACTGCACATCACCCTGAACACACCATCCCCACTGTGAAACATGGTGGTGGTAGCATCATGTTGTGGGGATGCTTTTCTTCAGCAGGGACAGGGAAGGTGGTCAGAGTTGATGGGAAGATAGATGGACCCCAAAACAGGGCAATATTAGAAGAAAACCTGTTAGTCTGCAAAAGACTTGAGACTGGGGCGGAGGTTCAACTATTAATAATAAAACAATTGGTGTTTCAATCAATGTTTAAACCAACAAAGGCATAAGATCTCAGATCGAAAGTCCATCTGGACCACATACTGGAGGCCACAGAAGCAACGCAAGCATTAAAACAAGTATACCACATGTGTAGAACTACAAATATTGAAACTGCTATAGTATATTTTTTATTCATTTGATTTGAACTGAACTTGGACTTCTTCTTTCTACACTCTAAACTATCTAATTTATACAGAGTGCATTTTACATGGGAAAAATCCTTTCATATCACCAAAGAAAGATGGCCTCAATGGGGGATCTATAATATTTGGAGTCAATGCATCTCTCAAAGGTATTTTCCTAAATAGAACATGTAAATTATCCAGTAAAAGAGATGATAGTACTTTATCCCCTTTTAGGATCTGCCAGTGCTTTTTAATACATTTATAATTAATTTTTTATGATTTTTTAATCATTTAATGATAGATTAGAGAACAAAAATTAGTTAATTAGTTCAAATGAAATGAAATATATATATATTAGATTAGATTGCAACTAGTTCTACACATATTGTATTCTTGCTTCAATGTTTGCCTATCCTCCAGTATGTGGGACACTGCATGTCCATTTGGGTGAACAAATATGCACTATGCATTATTAGTAGGAACCCAAGTGGCACTAAATTTGTAAACACTGAGAAGCTGAGAAGACACTGGTGAGATTGTAACAAGAAGAGAGATCTCACATACCGAGATCAGATGGACCTTTGATCTAAGATCTTACACCCCTTTGGGTTAAGATATTATTTTTAAATGTCTAATTTTATTTTGTCTCTATTTTTATGTAATTTATGACTTTATATTAATTCATTACATATATGTATATTAATGTAATATACTGTATAATGTAATACATTTATAAAAGTAGAACACATTGCCTACAATGTTTGCAGAGTATCAATTTTTGTTTGCATTTATTATTATGTCCATTATACCGTATACTTGCTACAGCTCTATTTTTGGTAGCAGCAGTCAGTTTTTTATTTCCCCCACTAGATGACAAAAGATTTTACAATACTGACAAATAGTTTTTTATTTAGTCAGTAGATGGCAATAGTTTGCAGCCTTGATTGTGCAATGTACTTACACACTTACTCTTTTACAAGTTGGGTGTTTCCCTGTTAGAGTAGAGAGGAGGGAAGGCTACGTCTGTAGTCGCTGAGGATGTCTTATGGTGATGAAACTCATTGGAAAGATCTTCTAGATGCACGTGACAACATTGTGAAGCACTGTCGTTGTTTTGGGATGAGTTTAATATATAT